AGACAGCACCCGYAGGGAGCAAGGATGCTGCTTTGGCCCAAAGCAGAGCCAACAAACCCTCAAAGAAAGCAAAGCAAAACAGAACAAAACAAAAACAAGCAAAGCCACTCTGGAGCACAGCCTTTTTTACAGGAAATGGAGCCATCAGGCCACAGAGCACAGCAAGGCACTAGAGCCACTGCTAATGTGATGCAGAAGCTGCTTCAACACCAAGATAGCAAAGGGAGAAGCCTTCAGATAAGTGCATAATTCAGTCATAGCWTCTGAGTAGCATTGGCAAGATCCTAACTGTTGAAACTACAGTTCTTGATCTCCTGATTTTGGAAAATATGTGTCTCAGTCAGAAAAACACAGGCAGCAATGTCCTTTCCTCAAAGAACATTCCCCAGCATATTAAAAAAAATAAATAAATAAAAATAAAGGAAGGAAAACAAAAACAAGCAAAAACCAAAAGAAAGAAATCAGCTCCCTCAGAAAGACCCTCCAAAACACTCTGCATTAGTCTTAGGCCCTCCCTGTGTACAGAGTTTTCTCCGAACAAATTGTAGAAGGCTGTCATTAATTTTTAAGYACAGATGAGCCCCAAGACAGTGCTCATGCATGCAGCCAGCACACTGCTGTGCCATAAGGACAATAAATGCACTGTGGAGTCACATTCAGCCCCAACTGTTCCTATGGCATATGTTACAGATCCCCAAGCATCCCATCCCTCGGGTGTACGCGTCCTACCACWGCACCTATGGAGCTACACAGGGATAATCACACAGTGATTTCACTTGGGAGGCAGATGAAGATGGATGCGAGGCAGATGAAGAAAGGGCTAGCTCTTCTACATTTTTCCAGCATGTCTGCATCTTGGGTTTCAGACACCAGCTATCATCAAGAAAATAGCTGGCTTTCACAGGGCTACCAAGACCAGGGAAAGCAGAGAGCTGGAGCAGGGGCTCGTGCTTCCCCTCCTATGCCGTTTTGTCCGCTTTTGTGCCTTGGGTTTGAGAGCTATCTTGGAGTGTTTCACGYTCCAGTTTGGGGCACACTCTGCCCAGGTTTCCATAGGTTTGACCTTCCCTGTTGGAAGTTCAGGTGAAGCTGCTTAGGGAGTGATGCTTTCCTCATTTGGGCAGCACATGCACGACTGTGTCTCCCTTTAGCCCCAGAACAGGGTCAGACTCCCCCAGTCCAATCAGCAGAACACATTGGGCCCCAGATACTTCTATCAGAAAGGTCAGATCATCACACCTCAAAATGTCCAAACCCATCCCACCAGGCCAAGGTTGGTCCCTGCCTGCTCCCCCAGCTCCAGAGCTGCGAATGAAGAGCTTTGACCTCCTCATCTTAGCCACATCTCCCTCCTGCTCCTGCCCAGCCTCCTGGGCTCCCCCTCACTCCCCTGCCATAAAGACCTAGTGACACACTTGAAAATATGTAGGTTAAAAAAAAAAATTGTTTGTGCTTTTTTTTTGTGTGGTATTTTTTTTTGTTTTGTTTGCTAATCCAAGACACCAGTACACACTTTTCACTATGGCAGATGTTCTTTATGGATGGCAGGCACTCTTAAATGAGGGCAACAAACCCAGTTTCACAGCTTCTAGAGGAGAGGCAGAGCAGGCTGCAGGGAATCAGTCAGCTCAGCCCGCAGTGCAGTATGAGGTGGGACTGGGGGGACTGGTGATCACGGTGCAGGAAGGAAAGGCAATAAATTGCTCTCCTGCTTTTGGGAGGAAGCCAGAGGAGGTACTCATGTCACAAGGGTGAAAYATTTTCCACTGAAATGGTAACTCAGGAAGATGTTAAGCTACAGATGCCTAAGGCAAATATTAAAAACTCRGCAGGCCTGGACATTGTGCATCTCCAAGTTTGGTTTCTTTTTAATATTATTTTTATTTTTTAATCTGAACTGCTAATGCAGATCTCTAACATGGCAAGGAAGACTGGAGAAGCTTCAGAGATCCAGGAGAAAAATAATATTATGCCAGCATTTGTAATGAGTAAACAGGATGCCCTTGTAAATAGGTGTGTCAGAGTCATTCCATGCAAAATAATAACCGAAAGATATGTGATCATATTGATAAAGACTTAAAGCAGAGAAATATAAATGCCAGTCATCAGGGCTTACAGGCAATAAACTTGTCAAACTAACATGACACCCTTTGTGCCTCTCTATATTCTTAAATATCCCAAAGACGTCTGATTTGTGCTGCAGCACGTGTGCTCACGGAGCAGGAATCTCTGCAACCTGGACAACAGCGAGAAGAGATGCTCCCCAGGGAACTGGCACAGGGAAGGCATTTCCAGCAGGAATGCTGAAGAGCGTGAAGTCTGGGAAGGAAAGGAAGGAATGTGTGATGAAGTGTGCAGTCCTGGGAACTGCGGCATGGTCCAGCCAGGAGCAGAGACTCCAAGTCAGCGACCTGGAGCTGTTAGGAGCATCCAGGCAGCGGATGTGTCCGTTTTCTGCACTGGAGCCTGCATGGTGCTCGGTGGAAGATTTGGGGATCCAGATGCAGCCTGGCTGGACAAATCGGTGCCTGGGCTCTCCTTCATGCTCCTGCAACCACCCTGGCCCCACAGAGCAAGGCTGAGCCGGGGACTGAGCCTTCCTCATTGAGAAGAAATGGGTTCAAAASGGGGTGGATATAGTCAGGGAAGATCCTGTGGGGCTTTGCCATGGCGGGATGCCCTGTGCGCGCAGGGAGCGCTCTCGGTGCCTGCAGTGCAGCTGTGCTTTCCTTCTGCTATGGTGCGTGGGAGCGGCGAATCCCTGCAAGGTCAGCAGGCCATGATTTTCCAGCGCGAGCTCCTGGGGAAAAGGCCTCTTGGTGTTCCCCGTTTACACATTCATACACTGGCAGTGATGGGATGAGAGGTTAAAGTTACTCTGCGCTTGATATTCCTGTTCCCACAGCCTGAATCCTGTGCCCGAGTCCAGTGTCAGCAGCTCCCAAAGGAGGCTGATATACAAGGAGGTTTGGGTGAGAGCCAAAGAGTGGGAAACAGAAAATATGCCTTAAAGCAGAAGACTCTGGAACCTCTCCATCAGCTCARTCTATCATAATGGATGAAGAAAACTTGTTCATAATAATACAAGCAATACAACACAAAATCCTTGGAGAAGAGCCAGACATTTACAGGGAAAAAAAAAGAAGAGCCTCAATACAAGGTGCAGGCACTTTACAGTCCAGATCCCTGACCTTTGGAACAACCTAGCAGTCACTGCCACAGAAACATATCAGCTCAAGATCAACTGTTTTCTTAACAGCCATGCTCTGATATACACAAGAATAAATGCAGGGCYGCCCTGCCGCCTGTGTCATGCAGGAAGTTGCGCTGCCGGAGCCTAGCAGGCCACTCTGTAATCTGCGGAAAAAACCCTGCCTGTCTTTCCCTTCCTCCCGTCCAAGTGTGTGAAAGGTCCAGCCAGCCCCRCTGGAGGCGTTTTCGGGAGAGCCAGGTCAGCGGCAGCAGCCCGTGTGAGCCGCGCTCCTGTCCGCGGCCCGCGCGCCGGGGCCAAGGGGGCCGTGTCCGCGGCAGCGAGCTCCAAACCCCAGCTCAAAGCGCCGGAGTGGGGCTGCGAGACCACGGGCCACGAGTGCCAGGGGTCGGACACCAGCTCCCCTCACAGCTTTCTGCTTTCTTTCCCGGAAAAGCAGGGAAGAAACATTGCAATCCATGCGGAGCCAGCCTGTCACAGGGCACAGCTCTGTGGGCTCCTCTGGACTTTCCTCAGCTGTAAGCACTGCAAAAATCCCTCAGAGCAGAGCCAGCAGCACGTCCTGCCTCCATAGCAGCTCCCTGCGAGAGACAACGGCTCCAAGGAGCAAAAAGCAGTCCCATCAGTGTGGCTGGGCTGTTGCTCTCGTGSACACGTAGCCGGGCTCTGTGTGGGGGAGCTGCCTTGCTTACCTATGAGTTGTTTGTACTTGCAGCTGAACTTTCTACTTTGCGGCTCACTGCTTTTCACAAGCTGCACGACTTCAGTTAAGCGGAGATGACTTTGAAGGGGTCACAAAATGTACCCTAGCAAAGCATCTCCTGATGAAGAGGCTTAAATTCACTGCAGGGTCTGTGCCTCCATGAGGCCATTTCTAGGTTCCACACGTCAGAAAGGACTGACAGCCGCTGCCCAGCTCGCAAGTTTGTGGATGGTTTAGATTTAGGAGAACAGTCCACAGTCTCCACAAATAAGATGGGTCCAATTAGCTGAGATGCAAGCAGTGCAGGAGCAGCTGCAGGCAGTATCTGCTGAGTGGAGATTTCCTCACCCTTAAGACTGATGACACGCTCTTGAGCAAAATACAGTACTGGCTTTCACCACAAGTCAAAAGGGAAGTCCAGGCAAAAGCAGCAAGAGGCAAGCTGGTTGTCTTTGGGTAGTGCTGTACGCACTGGCGTGCTTTGTGGGCAGGCATCTGCCCCCTGAATTTGCGAGGACTCTTTCACTGGGCTCATTCTGTGTCACAGCTCAAGGGCAGMACACAGAACGGGGACGGATTCATCATGCCCAGTTCCAAAGAAAAATGGGACAGATTTTTACAGCCTGGCTAATTCAAGGATGGCATATCTCAAAGAAGAGTGAAATACCTCTCTGAAGAAGGGGAATTAATCCTGAAGTAGCTAAGGAACTTTATAGGAACACAGAAGCAGAGAATTATAGAAGTGAAATCATATCCATCTAAGACTTGCAACAGCAGCAGAATACAAACACTCTGTGCTGTTCATGAAATGTTGCTCTTCTTGCTGTGCGTCTTGTAATAAGTCTTTCCCATTTTCTTTCTTGGCTTTCTGGGGAATAATGGGTTTACATAATCATAATGGGTTTACAGTGAACAAGATGTTTATTGCTTGTGTTTGCACCCTGCTGATTCACTTTGTAACAGCTCTGCACACATGAGCCCATAGCACCTAGCTGCCAATATTTCTTCTGTATTTTAGACTGGAGGGAAGTGAGACTCCTTGTGACCTGACAGTCAGCCATCAATTCCACACTGTGTACAGAACATGGATAACACAGTCTTTATTCAACAAGATGGAGTAAAGAGAGAATGTCTTTTCTACATTAACAAACCAAGAGAAGAGCACTCCATGCAGCTCTTCAGGTTCTATATCAGGAAAAGCAGGAGTTCTCTTGACCAGCCCTGAAGAAGATGGGATCCATTCCAGAAGTACACTGCTCTGGCTGAACAGGGAGTTCTGATCCCCAAGAGACAGAAGAGCCACAAAGGGAGAGCCACTAGTGGCTCTGCACAAACCACCTTGCACTAAATCAAGACCAAGGAGGGGTTCCCAGCTCCCTGGGTACGGCATGCGGGTATGTGAAGAGACTCAGAAGTCCTACAGGGGATCGAGGAGTGGTAGCTGCAGCAGGAGCAATGCTGCTAACGGCTCTTCCCTGGGTTCTCTTCATCTCAGCTCATCTCTGATATGGATGCATTGAGGCAGATTTGATGTTTGTTTTTATGCCACTTGGCATCTTTCCTGGAGAGATAAAAAAAGAAAAAGCCATGCAGAATCGGAAAGGACATCTACTGGGGATTATGCAAGAAGCACAACAGTCCTGTCAGGCTTTCTGTTCTACTGCATGTACTACACTAGGCTCACTTGCTACAGCATCTCCTAGTCTGTCATGTAACACAATCAATCTCTCCAACAAATTATTGAGAAATCTGTTGAGAAACCACCTTGACATTTCCTGTCAGTTCCCCTCCACCCTTAATTCTGTCCTCATCCAATCCTAATCAAGCCTTTCTTACTGCCAGGAGGCTCCCACAGGACAGTAGGACTTATCAGGCACACAGAAATTGCTGATAGCAGCTGATAGAGATAAAACCCACACTGTTCCTCACTTCTATCCAGACAGGCAAACACAAGAACATGTATCCTATTCTACATAAAATTATTTATAGTCAGATCATATATCTGAATTACTAAACCTCTCTCAGATCTCTTGATTTCTCTTAAAACCACATTTAAATCTAGGGCATTATTCCTCTTTGCTGATACCAATCACACGTGGGAGTGTGTTCAAAGATATTATATAGGCAGCTTGGTGTAAGTAAACTGTGCTAGACAAAACTATAATCAAAAAATAAACAAAAGGACACTGATTAAAGAGCAGCACTCAGCAGAAAGTGTAATGTGTACCCATATTAGAGCAGAAAAAAAAAACTTCTGAGAATTAAAATTGCACTGTGGCTGGACAGAAAAAAAAAAACAGATGAAGAATTGACTAAAGAATAAATATTATGGAACTTTTTTCAAGCACATCCAAGGCAATGCAATGAGTCGGCAGGTAATCTGACATCACTTCAGTGATGCTAACAGTCAGGGGACAAATACTGCTAGACCTCCAAAACACTGCACTGTATCCACCAGCATCTGGGATGCTCTGAGCAGTTCCAGTCCTCTCAGCCTTGAAAACGCACAGAAGAGATGCACGAAAGAGAGACAAGGATGGTCAAAGTTATATAAAAATTTTCAGACAAACATGTTAAATACACTAGGACTCATTAGCTGAAAAAAACAGATGGACAAAAAGAAGACAACATCAGACTTTTAAAACCTAGTGTAAGGTAAATGAGGAAGGGTTATTCACTGTTTCTCACAACACAAGTAAAAAGGAACCAATCAAAGAAATTAGCATGCAAAAGATTTTAAAACAAAAAGAAATAAGACTATGGGACATTCTACTACAATCATTGTAGAAGTCAAAATCATAATTTAGAAAGTGACTATAGAATTTGATATACTACACCCGCTGGTCTCAAAGCAAACCACAGCTCAAAACATCCCTAATTAGTGACTGCTGCGGGTGTCACCCCAAGTACCCTCTGTTCTTCCGTTAAACTTTCAGTCCCCACTTTTGCTTATTATCAGGAACTGGTTGATGAGATAGAGGGATCTGTGGTCAAAGCCAGTGCAATTGCTTTTATGAAAAGGAAAGTCCAGGGTATCATAGGCTGGACAAGTGCTCTTGTTACCACCATGTTCAAGGCACAGAAGCAACTGTCTTCTCAGCCTGGAGACACTGTCAGTGGGGATACAGCCAAAAATCACAGGGGCCTTCTTTCTTTCTTTCCAAAGTGGAAATTACTTAATTTAGGATTAATATTATTGCTCAAGTTCATTTCTGAACAATGCAGTCATTACGCAGGCAAGAAAACACCAATTAAAATATCCAGATTTCCAATTAACATGAACTTAAGAATAACAACATGAGCTTAGGGCTACAGGTCCCCAAGGCCAAACCCATTTCTGACAGCATCTCATAGGAGAGATTTAATAACAAATACCAGAAAAGGACAGGCCTTCAGTATACCTACTCAGCTTCCAGCATATTGTGGTCCAGGGTCTTTGAGTCAGAGGTGGTGTTGTCATGAATATTGGCCATCGAGTGATTTTTCATGTAGAAATGTACCTATTTACTTTTCCATTAGATATAAAAATTATAAATCTATCACTCAGATGGGCAATGTGCATTATAGTTTCATTATTCAGAAAACCATCTCCTTTTGTCCTAACTCCACAGGTTGGTATTTTCACAAGTGACTTTCCTTCCTGTATCATGGGAAACTGCAGCATTCCCCATTCACCTGCTCTACACAGTTTGAGATTTTACAGACTTCAATACATTCTTCTCCCCATTCTCAAACTGTCTTTTTCTCAGGATGAAATGTCACAGCTTTCTAAATTCTTTTCTTATATGAAAGCCTTTGCAGACCTTTGACCATTTTGTCACCTTTCCATGAACCTTTCCAGTTCTACCATAATGTTTTTGTTTTGTATTTTTTTGCAAAGTGCCATGATTGGAACTATATATAATACGGCAGATGTGGGTGCCCAATAGATGTAATTAATAGCTCCTAACACTCAGTTTACATTTCTGGCTCCACAGACTTCCAGCTGATGTCTTTACGGAACAGTCATTTAGTATATGCTGTTGGTCCCTGTATTTCTCTCACTCTCAGATATACTATTTATTTACCTGGTTGTCCAGCCTGTGCCATCTGCACTCCTGCCAGCATTGGCTGCTGCTGAGCTGCTGCACTTGACATTGGCACCTGCTGCATGCCTGAAGCCCCTGCAATGATTGCACCAGCTCCTGGTTGACCTGACTGGACAGATGCCCCTGTGCCAGGGGGGCGCCGGTTTGACAGTCCCTTCCCAAACGCTACAGCTGCTACCAGAGCATTGGTATCTGCAGGGTTGAAAGTCTGCTTGTTCTGGCGTAAACCTGTAGAAAAAAACATTTGTTTGTTTGTTTGTTCAAGCATTCTGGCAAAGAAGTTGGAAAAATAGTTAGATGGTTACGTACCTCCACATACATGTAACATGCCATGGCAAACCTGTTAGCCACCTGACATGCAATTGCATTTTCACAGCTACTTTAATCTACGTTGACTGAGGTTTTTCTTGGGAAACACCAAAGATAGCACTTATCAACGTGAAGGGGTGTACAGCAAAGGATTGCAATGACTTTCTGCCAGGCACAGCACAGTGCTAAGAGCAAATAAAATACACCCCAGCCACTGGATGCCTTTTCAAATATGGGAGCTGCAAGACAGGCAGTCTTGCATCTTCCTGATCATTTTCCTCTGTACTGCTAACCTGTTCCCCATGCTTTAGCCTCTCTGCTTTTCCCATTCTGCCACTGCTCTCTCAAGCTTGAGGCTTGGCCCTGCACCCCACTTGCACCTCATACCTCCACTTTCAGATTCCCGCTCCTCCTTGCTGATTTTCTCCAGCAGATTTGAGCACATTTTGTTCAGGCTTTGGATCTGTTTCTATAAAATGAGAAAACAATTAGAAAACACCAGGATTCCTCCAACAGAGCACAAGCCAGCAAGGTACRCAAACATGATTTCTCTTCTCCAGGGTCTGTGGAATCAAACAAAAGATTTTGGTAGCAGGGCCTAGAGAGTCCCATTCTAATGTATACAGGAAGGGACTACAAGGAGAGGATGCCATAGCAGCCTTTGCCTGGTACGACTGCTCTGATGGCACCTCCTGCAGAGCAGGACGCGTGCTGCACACTCCTGCTTTGGGAGACTGTGGAGGAACCCAAACTTTGGGACCAACTAGAGGAATTTCAGAGAGAAAAGGACACAGAAGACAGAACCATGTCGTATTCCCCTACCTGAGCCACATCAGGGCTGATTCGAGCTGCATCCGTGATCAGTTGTTTCTCCTGCTCTTCCACCTCGGGGTCAGGCTTAGTTCGAAGATGATCAGGCACCACCTCATGGCTGAACACCGGCACACGTCCCTCCGTCTGCCGCTGCAAGATGGACAAGCCACGCTCAGAACCTCCTCCTCCAGCTCAGCACTCAAGCAGCTCAAGACCAGAGCATGGTGCAGGATCAAGGCGAGCAGCAGGCTCAGAGAAACCCTTGATCCGTGCAGCTTTAGGAAGTGGCAACTATTCATCTAGAAATTTGCACTGTGCCCGTTGGGTCAGAGCACCCCATGGGGCTGCAGGGCTATCCCACTTGCTGCCTGCTMGCATGGTTGAAATGTTTTCACCTTCAAGCCAAGATTAAATCTTGCCAGCTCACACGGTAGGTTCTGCAGTGCTGCCCATGACAGTGTGGCRACAAACAGCGCAAAGCTAGCTGCAAATATCTGAGAGAAACAGCACGACTATAGCAGAGAAAATAAAAAGCTTGCAAGGACACATCCTAGTTAAATAATGGGATACTACAGCTCCTCAGGCCCTGACATCATGAAAATAACTTATTTATGAACAGGAACTCTTACTGTAAAGGGTACCCAGAGCAAATGCTTGTAGGAGAAAGCTCCCCAGCAAAGCAGCTCCCAGGTAGAACTCATCACCTTTTCTTTCTGGATACCCAGAGCKGAGGAAAGGGCAAGGACAAGGAATAGCAAGCTGTAGCGAGGACACAAGCACATTTTGATACTCGAGGCCGTCATTCAGAGGGAAGATTCTTACCATGATCTCCTCATCACGATCTGGTGATAGCACCAGGGGTATGATAACCTGGTTTCTCAATAGCGGGGTCTTCTCATGCTTTAGCACCTTATTCAAGGTGTTCAGCTGTCCTGAGAGCAATGCAAAGCTGTCCAGAACTGAAGGCCTGGAAAAATAAAGAGGACAGGACATGGAAAGGGATTCTGGAGATGGCCTTTATCCATTCTTCACTCAAATAGCTGGGAAGTAAGGAAATAACATTACTATTCCTCCAGTGAATGTGCTCCAGAGAATGAAGAGTAAAACCTAGGGCTGAAAGCACAGGACAAATGCCAGTCCCCAGAGCTGATGCAGGTAACAGCTCAGGGACATGGTGTGCACTGGGAGGGTCAGGTGTCTGGGGTGTCAAGAGCTACACAGAATGCTTAGCTCTCAGGGTACTCTTTCAGTAGGATCCTAAAACAAGGTCTGAGAGACAATTTAACTCCCAAGCAGAACAGTTAGGAAAAACACTATTTGTAGCTCAGTTGTTCAGACTAATGGGTAATGAAGCAAAATAGTGGATAATCTCATTGGGCAAGTCTCCTCCTTCTATAGGGATTCACCACATTTCCTGCCTTACGCAATACTAGCTATTAATGYTACCTGCCTTTGAAGCTCTGCAGCAGTGACACACACAGTGTAAGATGCTGCATGGCTTACTAAGCTGMAGCTACGTTGTCCTTTTGCTGCTTCAGGAGGAGAATGTGACCCTGCAAGTCTCTCAAACTATCTGGTAAAACATGCAGAACCAGCAGACAGGTACAAGAATTCCATTTACATCAGAGGCAGAGAAAGTCATAAGGATCAACAAATACAGAAAGACCAGCTCACTGWACAGCATACACAAGTCTGTAAGATACGTCGTGCAAGAAGTTTCCAGTCACTGTGGACACAAACAACTGCACAAGTTACCGTAAAAGGGCCCAGCTTAAAAGATGTTGTCATGACCCTATTGCCGTGCAGTGCACAACAAATGTTTTTCAGCTGCTTTGCTAGTGGAAGACATTAAGTGGTTCCATCAGTAGAAACGTCAAAAGCAATTTTAAGCTTAATGACAATAGCTTAGTGGTTTTTAATTACACTCTGCGGTCCTTAGAGCAGATTCTGAAACAGCTTTGGCAGCGATGGACAGGGCTGGCAGCCCTGAGAGGGGCCTTACCATGTGAGTCGGTCATACTCGTTCTCCAGCTTATAGATAAAACTGACCAAGGAGTTCTTCAGGTCGGCCACCTGGCTGATGAGCGCCTCCAGAGTCAGCTCCAGCTGCTTTTCCTCTCTCTAAAAAGGTAGGAAAGACAGAGATGAGGACAAAGATTGCCACCTTTACAAGGACCAGAGGGGTCCACAAGCAGGTATTCATATCCTTCCCAAACACATGCTCCTCTTTGAGGGGAAGAAACAGAAACTCCTGAGATTAAAAAAAAAAAAAAAAMMAAAAAGMAAACCCTATATTCTCATGTTGAACTCCTTCACTGAGAAAACTCAGGAGATGAGCCCTCCGCTGGCTGTCCTCATGAAGATCCAGGCGGACACAGCGAGGATATCACCACTGGCATTCTCTTTTTGCTGCATCAGTCAGTGTCACCAGGGTTAGCCCATGCCGTCTCTATGAGCTGTTTAAGCTAGCCCAGCTCTAGGTAGATTAGCTTGCACTCGACTCCTGCTGCTAGCAGATGTGGGTACAGCAGTCTCTATTCAAAACAGCTGCTTGCAAAATGAGCATCAGGTCCATGGCCTGAAAGCCACAGGTTCTACACTTTACCTTAATCTTTCTTCCTGCCCAAGTGCCATTTGTAGCATTTCTACAAAAGTCAGGAGCTCCCGTTTTTCTTTTCCCTTAATAGTAGTGGGAGGTACCAACCATACTGGAGATCACCTCCTGCCTTTGGCCTGACCTGAACTCATCAGGCACCATTCCCACCAACATCCTTGAGCGAGGGAGGATAACAATAAGCAAAGTGTCAGAGCCCTGGGAATCAGGTGCTGAAGATACCAAGACAGACCTTTAACTCTTACAAAAACCCCTTACAATCTTGTCTACCCTTACTTATTCATACAACAGAGTTGTGCAAAACATAATTAAAATTAAAATATAATTAAAGTTCCAGCCCTAACGAACTGCTAATGTAAATCAAGGACTATAGAATAATAATCCACTTGGAGGGCGGGACAGACAATACAAACAATAGAAAGGGAATGCGATTGGGAAAGCAGATGGGGTGAACCAGGCTGTTTGCATGCTTGCTATGGGGGCTGCCCTGATTTAAGGTTGGAAGCGACCTTTGGAGATCATCTAGTCCAACCTCCTGCACAAGAAGGGGCCACCTAGCACATGGTGAACAGGATGGCATCCGCGGTGGGGGGCTCAATATCTCCAGAGGCATTGRAAAATAAAGTTAAATGAAATGGATTAGCACGAGCTTCACTTTATTTATTTATTATTTATCATTTAGGGATTATCAGGTTATCACCTACGTTCACAAGCACATTATAAATTAAATAGAATAGTAATATCTGGCAAGAAAATAAAAGGTTTCTTAAAATAATAATAATAATAATAATAATAATAAAAACACTGTATTTCTGTTGATTTTTGAGAGGAAGGCTGAGTGAACTTTGGCGCAACGTGACCTGCAGCCGCCGACGCGGATCGCTGGGCGCTGCAGGGGCCGATCAAAACACTCCAACACTTCCACGCATCTCGCGAGGGAGCCAGGCCGCTCCTGCGCAATTAAGGAACAGGTCCACAACTTGCTCTGCACGTCCACTGTGTTTGTGCAAGGCAATTAATCAGCGAGTTCAGGCCCCCGGCCAGGGTTTTATCGCAGAGGTGCTGCACCCACGGCAGCTCACGGAGCGCGCTGGGGAAGCCCTTGCGAGGCTGGGCGAAGCGGCACGGAGCACGCGCTGCTCTCCAGCCGCGGCTGCTCCAAGCTCCATCCGCAGCCGTCAGGAAGCGGCTGTGAACAGCGCCAGGCATGGATGCAATAGGAGCAGTGCTGCCAAGAGGGGCCCTACCTACTGCATGCCCCAAGCACACGCCAGCTTTGGGAAGTTTGTTATACAATAGCGGGATTAGCTCCAGGTGGTAAATACTGGGATTCTGAAAGGCCTCCTCATACCGAGGGGGAGGAAAGGGAGCCCAGCTCTTCATGAACTGCAGTGTTCACCAGCCTGACAGCACCATGGCTCAAAAACTWGGATCTGCAGAGCACCCTCTGGAAACAACAGCCTGAAGCTCCGGAATTTGTCAAGGACACATAAGCAATGACAGGATTTGTTTGAAAAGGAAAATGAAACTAAACGTTATTTATCACCGTACAAATGTGTGCTTTATTTGCATCCTGAAGGGCAACCCTTATCCCTCGATCTCAAGAAAAAAAAAAGAAAAAAAAGGAAAGAGTAGGAAGAGGCGCAGTGAAAGGCACCAGGGGTGGCTGCAGTCACGGTCTGTGGGCACGGCGGGCAGCACAGCGCGCAGCCCGGCTCCTGCGAGCGGCACAGGGAGCGCAGGGGACACGAGAGAGGGGACACGAGAGAGGGGCCGCGCGATGCCCGCTGCCCGCCGGGGCAGCGCGGGGCTCGGCAGCGCTCCGCACCGCTCCCGCGGGCCGCTCACCTGCATGGCGGCGCCGCTTCGCTTCCGGGTGACGGCGCCGCGAGGGCGGCGCGGGGGAGAGGGCGCGGGGCGGAGCGGAGCGGGGCGGCCGCGGACATGGCGGCCGCCGAGCGCGGCGACGCCGAGGTGCGCGAGAGGGGCCCGGCGGCCGCCCGGGGACAGGACCGCGGCGTGGGGGGTGACGGAGCAGGGCCGAGGCGGGGGGGCGAGGACGGAGTGGGGGTGCGCGGGTTTGGGGGCAGGGGTGCTGTGGGGGTGACTGGTGTCCCTGGGGAGCAGGGCTGGGGTGGGGGTGGCTGGGGCACGGGGGGGCTGTCCAAGGCCTCCCGGAGGGGTCGGGGGCGGCAGCCCCTTCCCTGCCGCGGGGGCCGTGCTGAGCGGGGGCCTGGCCGCGCGCAGGTGGAGGAAGCAGGGCACGTCTTCCTCCTCATGAAGAAGGACTATCGCATCTCGCGCAACGTGCGCCTCGCCTGGGTCCTCAGCCGCCTGCACCAGGTCATCTGGGCCGTGCCCGAGCCGGAGCTGGTGAGTGGTGCCTTGGCCGGAGCGGCCGGCGCCTCTGGGCCACGCACCTCGCCCGGGCTGCCGGGCCCTGCAGGGCGTTTCAACCCTGTTCCTTATTCTGGTTCTCGCTTTGGTACGGTTGACATCACGTTCTCTCACGTGCCGGTAACCTTTCCACGTAGGTCAAGTCGGAAAACGAGCTGGATGTTCTCAGCATCTTGCCTAACGGGTGGCAGCCGGACGAGCCTGTCCAGCCTCGGCCCTATCTCCTAGTGCCCTCGACACGGGTCACCTTCCTGGCCCGCCAGTACCGCTTCGTGATTGAACTCGACCTGAGCCCTTCCACTGGGATTGTGGTAAGGGCGGGAATCGCCTCTCTGGGGTGCTCTGTGCTGAAGGCCTAAGAAGGCTTATTCCTCTCCATGTCAGCCTTAGCTTTTGCAGAGGTCTTGCTTTCCCAAGAGCGAGGCGTGAAGTGCGCTTAGCTGGGCAGCTGCTAGCAGGTCCCGTGTCTCTGCTGGGTGCCCATGTGTGTCCTTTGCTTGCCCAGAGCTCTTGTTTTAGTCCAGCTGCTGTTAGAGAAGGATGTTTGCTCATATGTCTGTGTCTGGGGCATCAATACATGAGGTTGAAAGTGAAGCAGGTGAAGAAGCTGAGTTTCCTTTTTCTCTATTTTTGTAGGATGACTCAACAGGGGAGATAATTTTTGATGAAGTGTTTCATGCCCTTTCACGATGCTTGGTGGGGTTGTTGAGACCCTTTCGTATCCCTGGTTCGGACATTATTTACCAGCCAGAGATCTTTGTGACCATCCAGGCGTATTCCTCCATCATCGGCCTGCAGTCCCACCAGGTAAAATTCAGCCTCTTCCTTGGCGCATCTCAGCTCACAAGCAGCTTGCTGCATTGGTTGCCCGTGAACACAGAGGGAAATGAGGATGTGTGTGTCTGCTTGGCTCTTTTAAGTGTATTATTGTAGACTTGTTACATTAAAATGTGCAGCCTCGTGCAATAGGTATGCACGTGAGCAGCTTTCCTGGGCAAGAAGGGGGAGCAGGGCCCAGCAGAGAAGGATGCCTATAGGCATGTTCTCAGAGTTAGGTGGTAATTCATGCTTCCCTTATGCCTTTTTCCTACAATTTTCTGTYTAAATAATTTCTCTGGCCTGTAAAATTAGCTTGAAACACGTAAGAAGCAGCAGCATCCCCCAAAAGCTTGTCTGCATGCTCCAGTTGTGTAGCAATGGTTTATTCAAAGATAATTACCACTTTCTACAAACCTTACTCTTCTTTTGCCRGTATGAGGCGTATTTCTTCCTGCAGGCAAGAGTAGCGCAGCCCCAGTAACCTCACAGTTACTTGAGACAGAGCAGGTTTTGGTTTATGGTCCCAATAGCGATTTTTGGAGTTTATCCTTCTTGTATTGGTACCCTCACCTCACAGTAATTTTGCACYGTTTTCCCATTTCTGGTAGTGTGCTTCGTCACATTGCTAATACCACTGAAATTGGGTGGTAAACAGATGACCTGTTAAACCTAGACCTGTTCTCTCCCTCTCCTTTTGCTGGTCCATGTCTGCCCAAGCGTTCTGTGCAGGCTGCAAGCTTCAGTGGTCTGTACAGTGCTTGAAGAGAGTGGCCCTCACCTCCGTCAGTTCTTAGATGTTATAAAAGTTAGCAGAGCAGGAATTCCCCATTTGCCAATGATAATTAGCATGTAATTTTGCMTGTCTGTCCCTACAGACAGCACCATGCTCTGCCTCAGTGTGAAAGTGACTTCCCAGGCACTTCCCGGAGTGAGYTGCAGGCATCTGCTGCAATTGCTGCCCGCAGGCAGGTGGTCCCAAGCAGAGAGGCCTGTGCTTTACCTGCTCCTTGTCAGGGATGTGCCTGAACACCTCGATGAGAGCTGCTCTTGTGGGGACTGCTACTCTAAAACCCCATCTTGATGTTTGCTGTGTATATCCTTGGTATCCAGGTACTGTTCCAGGGCTGTCAGCTGGATGAGACGAAGCGAGAGGCCTTTCTGAACCAGGTGTACACGCAGCTATGTGCTTTTGAGAACAAAGTGGCAGAGATGCTCCAACAGCAGTATGAACCCAAACCACAGGTGAGGAGGGCAGACATGGTTGGTGTTTTGGGGCTCACTGGAGATCTACAGTGTGAGGCCCTTCCGTGGTGGGCTGGCAATGAGAGGAAGAGTCATGTAGGTCTGGAGAAGGAACAACATTTTGTAAGAGAACTTTGTGGGACCCAGTAATGAGAAATGAACTCTGAGGAAGCAGAAGCAATAAGCATTGAGGGGAAGGATTGGCACGAACATTTCTGTTGTCCAAGATTATTATGTAGTGAAGCAAGCAGACTCCTTTGTAGTATTTTTTTCCTCCTAGGACTGTTTTCTGTCTGAAAGGGGTGGTGGGAGAGGTGATTAAGCTAGTATCATTAATCTATAAATAACTGTTGGCCCTTGTTACGATCTTATTTCCTTGTTACCCCAGAAACTGATTTTGCATCTGAATAAACAGCCCACAGATTTTCAAGTACTCCTTGATATCTGTGGTAGATGTTTTTATTAGTTAGGAATATAGGTATCAGCAAGTTATTGATAGCACTATAAAATACATCTTTGGGTAAAAATTAGAGCAAGACTCTGATCTTGGAAGCAAGGACTGAAAAATATGGATTATGTTACTGCAATGCTCACATAAATGAATGATATCTATGGGTGCTCTTTTTGTAGTCGTTGCTGGCCCCGTTGAATTTGTCTAGTCTTTTAGTATTAGTTTGTAGCATTTGGRCTAAGGGAAAAAATCTCAATTGTGAGCAAAAGGCTAGTGACAACTTCTGCCAGTTGCATATTCAAAGAGATATAAACCTCATCTTCTAGCTGAAAAATATTTGTACCTCTGAATATTAAGACTGTCTGTCAGTCGTGGAACACAAATTGGCATACAGGATGGAAATAACTTTTCCAATGTGTGCAGCTGGTGTTTCTGCRGTGCTTTGTATGCATTCCTGCTTGCTGCAGTAGTTCTGGCATATTCAACGCCACTATAACATCTTATATTCAAATGGGGGAAGGAGACGCGCTCCCGAGCCAGAGGGACGGGCAAGTCCTGCCGCGGGCTCTGGGGTGGAGGTGGGAGGCCCCAGGGGAAGGCATGGACTGAAACTTTTTTTTTTTCTTCCACTTTTGAAGTTTCATCAGCTTCATCAGTGTCAACAAGTGCCTGAATTTGAGGCATCCAGCAATTTAAAACCATTATAGTCAGCTTTTTGCTTACAGACATGGGCTTTTGCCATTTGTGCAGAACAAAAAAGCAGTTTGTTCCCATATTTTTTTTTAAACCCCAGTTTGTATCATCCAGCTTTGCAGGGGAGGGTTTCCTACCCATTCTCTGAACTAGAAGTAAAAACGGAGCAAAAGCTTATTACAGGGTGAAGCTGCCAGAGCCTTTTGGACACGAGGGGCCTATGAACACTTTAGATTCCTCACATGTGTAATTATACAAATTTCATGCTTTGCCTGAGGGACATTTTTYGTAGAGGACACAGGAGAAGCCTGCCTGCATTTGCTTATATCAGCATTGCATCACTAGTGCTGTGTGCACAGAGTTAAATGTATGGGCCCAGACTTTGTCCCTTGCCCCCTCTGTGGCAGAGAGATGTTGTTGCCTCAGTCCCTCGAGCATTTCTGAGTTTTACCTGAACAGATGCTGAATATCTGAAGCTTCTACTAAATGACAAAGGAAAAAAAAAAAAAGAGGTATTCAGCATCTCTTTAATTCTTCTGCAAATTAACTTGAGTGACCACAAAGTGTCCTGTATTTTCCCACATGTGAGAAATAAGCTTATAGTAAAGCTCTGAGTTTGTTGTTTCATTCTTTTATCCCAAAGGGAGCTCTGACATGCTCTTTTAAGGGGTCCAAAAYACTAGGACTTTGAGGATGGTTTGAATTTGGACTAAAAGTGGAGCATCCTGAAGTGCTCCTGGGCTGCCATACCATGAGGCTGCTAATACTGAAGGCTGCTTAGGAGAGTAAGAACTAAAGTTAGGCTGAAGTCTGACTGATGATATTTGTTTGTTTGTGTTTTYCAGGTGGACTTGTCACCCCTGAGCCAGGAGAGCCCTGGTGACCCTCAGGAGCCATCAGGCAGGAAGCCCAGCGTGTCCGTCGTCACCGCCGATGTCGGCCTCGTCAGCATGGTCCGGCAGGGCATCCTGGCACTGCAGTTGCTGCCCTCCAACTCCAGTGCAGGTTGGCCTCATCCTCTGGGTTTGGGGGTGCCYAGTTGCTTGTGGATGATTGTATCCCACCTGTCCTGGGCAGGAGTTTTGTATGAGCTGGTGCATGGACCCTTCGGGTAGGGATGAGATTTCAGCAGCAGCTTTTGCTCTGCACTCTTGGTGGGAATGAGGAGGACGCTGTGCTAAGCACCATGCAGTGTTAGGGAGTTTGCAGGGAAGCACAGCTGCAAGTGCTGCTCAGGGCAGGGCAGGGCAGGCAGAGCTGTGCCCAGAT